TAGGAAAATAAAATCTTGTGGCAACACTGATTGTCTGATGATGAGCTCCCTGCAAGCCACAGCTAACCAGTTGCCCCTGAAATTCAACAGATTTACACACACACTCGCAACTTTTTAGCTATGCTACCCACACATTTACAAATTTATTTTTTCCGACTGTCAAAACAAAATTCTGAGTGAGAGAACCGGACCTAATAAAAATTTTTACTGTAATAAGAATTTTATGCGTTAGAGCGAGTAAGTGGAAATGAAGCAAAATTTGACAGCTTTGATCACAGAGGCTGTGACTTTAGCAAAAGTTTGACATCTTTGATCACAGTAGGCTGTAAATAAAAGCGTTAATTTTGCAAAAACATTTGAAGGTAAGAGAACGTTTTAACAATTTGCATTGTTTATAATGGAATTTTTTTCTTTTAGATTGCCGAAACATTGCGATTTAATCATATAATTAAGGTATGTATTAGAATTATTCACATATTTGTATATTTTAATTGATAATTTTGCATTTACAAATTTGCGATTTTTCATTCTAAATTTATCTTCGACCCTGCTACCACGGAACATCAACGCCACCTCCAGTCAGGCTCCACACCAGCATATCCACCACCTTCAACGCCGCCACCAATAAACAGCGCTGCATACATTATTCGGTAAGTTTTCATGCGACGAATAAACGTTGCTTCTGCTGCAACTGCCTACATTAATCATGTTCCTGGTGCTTCCCGATTTGCACATTTCAAAAGAAAAGCTGTTTTTGCAATTAATAAACCTTATGGCGTACAGAAACAGCTTCCTCTAAAAACCTGCGAAGCGTGAAGTACCTGGAACAGGCTTATTTAGTGCGTTCCAGAACGTCTACGATTTGCAGGTTTTGCAGGATTTAGTCCAAAGTCGTTCCCGTACGCCACGTTCACATAAGGCTTATTAAAGGCAAAAACAGCTGTTCCGGAAAACCTGCAAATCCTGCAAATCGTGAAGTACGGGAACAGGCTAATTATGTGCAAATGTAAACAACAAAAGAAAGTGCAGTGTTTACATATGTAAAAAGTGTAGTAGGTCAGCCTTTGGAGGTTTTCCAAAACGAGTCAGTTCAACAAGTTGTAAATTGGAATTTCATGGTTGTGCGCTTAAAAACTGATATGTTTTGGAAAACAGTCTTTCTTACGATTATGCGATACCTTTTTATGTGCATATATTTTCAAATTTAGGACTGGTGAATGCGGTCATTCTGGAAGCCATAGTTTACAAAGTGTAGTGCACAGTTCAACAACAGTGATTGGGTTTGCTACTTCATAGCAGCAGTGGAAATGGAAACATTGCTCTGCTATTGCTACTTCTCTACTTGAATAGATAAGAAGCACGGCCAGAATCGGAAAACACACGAGGACCTTCCTTGTTTTACTTGGTTCTATGTTTCGTTGAGGCACAGATCAGGTAGGAGAACTAAAATATGAACGAAGTGATATTTGTAGTCAGAGTAATAGCACATACAACAATATTATGATAGCCTCAACGAAACATAGCACTAATTAAAACAAGAAAGGCCTTCTTGTGTTTCCCGATTCTGACACTGCTTCTCATCTATTCAAGTAGAGAAGTTGCAATAGCAGATCCACGTTTCCGTGCCACTGCTGTTATGAAGTAGTGAACTCAACCACTGGTAGTTGTCATAATTCGCAGTAGTAACAGTTTAACATGAAGGTAGAATTTTTATTTTTGGATTCCTGATACGAATAAGTTTATTTTAGTTCCGATTCTGCATAATCTTTTTTTTTCCTTCTCTTGAAGCAATGGATTTGTCACCACTGTTCCTGGGAGATACCGAAGCGCTCTCTCCACCACGCACGAGCAACACAGGTATTTCGAAAATATACATACATATACATTTACAATATGTTTAATAGTTTTTAATCAAACATTCCTGCGCTTTCAGATGTAGCCCTACATAGAAAGCGCTTTCATGTGGCACTGCCTTACGAGGAGCGCTTTGTCTCCCAGCCAACAGTAACCACCAACACGGGTGTAGCCACTACAACAACAACAAGCAACACAGGTCAACAATTTACCTTGTCTCACCTGCTGGAGAGGCAAAAAGAAATGTTTGATGGCGTCATGGCCGCCATTGGAAGGGTTGAGTCAAAGGTGGACGGAATAGCAAATGCTCTGGCCGAAAAGGTTATATCAATGTACATATTTATGAATGCTAAAATTATTGTTTAATAATTTAATTTTTTTTTCAGATGCCCGAACGCGCGGAAGTTCAAGCTCAAGGGCAGCTACTGCGAGAGTGCAAAGTGGTGACCTCGAAAGTTCACCAAAGTATTTCCCGAATCACTGGAGATGCTATTAGTAAAGAGCATACTTTGCTTCAAAGTATGCTTCCACTATCATCCCAGGAAAAGTTAAATACTTTGGAGAATCTTTTGGGAAACAAACCACACTCCGATGCGATGGTAATTTTTGCTAATTTTTTTATTGTTTTTTATACACATATACAAATGTATGTATATATCATATTAGTTGTATATATGCATTTTATTTTACTCATATTAATTTTTATTCGTATATACATATGTATGCAATTTTTTTTTATTAAAATTTGGTTTATA